GCTTGGTGGGGCCAAGAAGAAGTCCGACGCTAAGATTCTATCACCGGAGTCCTTCGTCTACAACCTGGAGTCAGCAGATCCCAAGAAGTATGACGATCTGACGGTGGAGGAATTCCTCACTGGTTCTATGGCCTCACTGCAACACCCGGGTCTGCCGGCGTGGGAGCTACAAGGCCGCCTGGCACTTCTGCAGCTTGTCTGCAACAAGTTGACAAGGTACAAGTGGTCTACCATTCGTTCCTTCCATGCCGCGGCCGCTCAGCACGCGTTGCGCAAGCCGGGCGCATGGTCCTCGGACTGGGACCAGCTGAAGGAGCTGTACTTTGACGGGGACATTTCACGGTTGAAGCCTACCAGCTCCACGGGCGGCAGTCGCGCCACGGACAAGCCGGCGGTCCCGCGCTTCTGCTGGAAGTTCGGGAAAAACGAGTGCTTTGCGTCGACCTGCAGGTTCGAGCACGTGTGCAAGTTCTGCTGGGAAAAGACCAACAGGCGGTTCACTCACACTGAGGCCGATTGCAAACGCAAGAAGTCGGATAGCAAGCAGCCCACGTCTTCGGCCGGCGACGACGACTCCATGTGACAACCCACTGGCCGCACACGCACGGGGAGCATCGCATCGGTTAGTATTGGAGACGTGCACCGAACTGTAAGTTTCGATTCTCCTTTCCCTGTGCCAGACTGTCAGCATTTAGTTAGTGGCTACGAGATTTGTTTTGATCCTGCTGTGCCGAAATGTCATTATTTAGCTAGTACACGCGAGGTTTGTTTTGATCCTCCTCCGCACAAGACTTGTTTTGATACGATCCCCCCACACGTCACGGTCGGCGGCAATCCTGCACACGTTACGGACAATGTTCCTGCTACCATGTCCCTATCAGATCAGAGACGTTCCGACATGACAGCTCCAGAGTTTCTCCGTTCAGGCCGTGTTCGTGATGTTTGTTTTGATTCGCTTACTGAGAATAGTTCTTTTGACACGATCCCCTCAATCCGGGGCCGGGCTCCCACGCCCGTCGTTGACAATGTTAATTGTGATACGATCACCCCCATTCAAGAACGCGCCGACACGCACGTTACGGACATCGGTTTCCTGACTCCGACCCTGTCGACTCGAACACGTGGTGACTCGGCAAGTGTGTGTTTTGATATGTTTTCGTCCTCTCGGGCACGTGCTGTCACGCACGTCACGGACAATGTGAGTTTTGAAACGATCCCGTCATATCGGGTCGGTGCTGCCACGCACGACCCAGACGTTCCCAGTTTTGATCAGGTCCCGTCAAATCGGGCAGGTGCTGCCACGCACGCCACGGAAGATGCGAGTCTTCATCTTGTCCCACCAACAAGGGTTTGTGCTGCCACGCACATTACAGATGTTGTGAGTTTTGCCACGGTCCCGTCGAATCGGGCATGTGCTCCCACGCACGCTACTGCTGTGAGTTTTGAAACGATCCCGTCGACCCGGGTCGATGCTGCCCCGCACGTTGTGGACATTGTGAGTTTCGATAGGAGCCCGTCAACCCGGGACTGTGCCGCCACGCACGCTACGGACGATGTGAGTTTCGTCTCGAGCTCGTCACCCCGGGGAGGTGATGCACCGAACCTCCTGGACCCTGCCTGTGTCGATATGATCCCGTCAGCTCCGGGATGTGCTTCCACGCACGTTACGGCCACTAATGAACGCGCCAATATGCCAGTCACAGAGTTCTATCTGCTCAAGGCGCCCGGAAGTTTGAACGGGTCTGCTCCTCGAGACCTGTCACTCTACCGACTATGGCACGACAGCGTGAGTCAATCCGGCAAACCCAATTTTCAGGGCGAACGCATACCAGTCCCCACTGGACTGAACGTTGCAGCCTGGCGGCACTTCTTGCCTACTTACCCGGACACACATCTGTGCGACTTCTTAGAGTTCGGCTTCCCCGTGAACTACGTGTCTACGTCGCCGCCAGTGGTTCCGCACACAAACCATCCTTCTGCCTTACAATACGCGAGCCACGTTGACAAATATATTCAAACGGAGTTGTCTCATGGCGCCACCATCGAACCCTTGCCACCTGCCTGGTTCAGTTCTCGCTTGGTGTGTAATCCCTTGCAGACAGTTCCAAAAAAGGGCACACAAGATCGCCGAATCGTGGTCGACTTCAGCTACCCTTCCGGCACGTCAGTCAACGACGGCATTCCGACGGGCGCTTATCTGGGCGAGTCGCGTCGGTTGCGGTACCCTTCGATAGATGATTTCACGGCATTGGTTGCAGCTCACGGTTCGGGTTGTTTGATGTTTAAGAGAGACTTACGCAGGGCCTACAGGCAGTTGTTCGTAGATCCCGGGGACTATCATCTCCTAGGATTCTCCTGGCGCGGAAGCCAGTACGCGGACGTGGCCCTGCCATTCGGCCTGCGCTCTTCGGCCCAAGCTTGCCAGAGAGTGACTGACGCAGTCGTGTATGTGTACGCTGACCTCGGGTTCTCGTGCGTGAACTATCTGGACGACTTGGGCGGGGCGGACTCACCCCAGCGGGCGGCCCTCGCGTACGACACACTCGGGCGACTGCTGCAAACGCTGGGCTTAACGGAAGCCGACGACAAAGCCTGCCCGCCATCTACCCGCATGACGTTTCTCGGCCGCATAGTGGACTCCGTGACCATGACCATTGAAGTGACACCCGAGCGACTCGCCGACACCCTGGCTGAGCTGCACTGCTGGTCTTCAAAGGCCAGCGCACGCCGGCAGGAGGTGGAGTCCCTACTAGGTAAACTGCATTTCCTGGCTTCATGCGTGCGTCCAGGTCGTCTCTTTGTTTCGCGTATGATCATGTTCCTCCGTCGTTATCGCGATAGGCAGCAGCGGCTGCGCATTGACACTGAGTTTCGTAAGGACTTGCACTGGTGGTCCACTTTCTTACCGTCCTACAACGGCGTGTCGCTCCTCCCTCAAGCGGGCTGGTCGGAGCCCGACGCGATCTTCAGCTCTGACGCCTGTCTCTCGGGTTGCGGGGGCTTCCTTCACGAGACCGGAGAGTACTTCCACGCAGTCTTCCCCGACTCCCTACTGGAGTCTCAGCCATGCATCAACAGTCTAGAACTCTTGTCCATCCTCGTCTGCGCCCGGTTGTGGCGTAAGTGCTGGGCCGGGCGTCGGATCGTCGTCATGTGCGACAATGAAGTGTCGGTCACGGTATTGAACTCCGGCAGAAGCCGCGCCCCCTTCCTGCAGTCCTGTTTGCGGAATCTGTGGTTGTGCGCCGCCAACGGAGACTTCGAACTCAGAGCTATCCACATACCCGGGTTGG